TTCACGAAGTTTCCAGCCACAGTTGTCTTTATCATACCAGCATGCACATGGTCTTTTTGACAAAGCTCATGATCCACCAACGTATTCACCAACTGATCAAAGCAAGGCAGGTCTCTCAAGAGAAAGAATGCTTCACAGTTTAGAAGTTTCGGAAAGAAATCGTGAAATTTCCAATAACGGCAATCCAGAGTCAAGCATGGCTTTCAATGTTCCTAGTTTGGGTCCATTTGCTTCTTCTGATCTGGTAAGTCTATGGTCTCATTCAGTTTCTTCTTCGGAAAAGCCTTGCAGTAGCTTAAACCAGAAGTCCATGTCAGTTCAGGCTTGCACATTTATGAATTCATCTGGTCTTTATAGTAAGAGTTCTGTGATATCACCCCATTGCAATGGGAATTTTGGAGAGAAGTGGTCGGCGAGTAGCAATTCAAGACTTAACCCATGTTTTGGAAGAGAATTGCCCAATCGAAATGGTTTTTGTTATGGATCCTCGGCAGGATCAAAGGAACTTGCAATACACTTCCTTTCAACCAGTTATGATTATGCGAATGGTGCTGCTGCTGGTAAGGGCGTCTTCGAGCATTTATCTGCTCGTGGTTCGACTAAGCCATACAATTGCTCAAATGATGGTGATATGAAGTCTACAAGTGATGTGAATTTCAATGAGGTGCTTTCAAACAGTTCATCTAACAATCCGGTTTCGCTACGAGGTCCTCAAATAGATGGAGGAATAAAGCATGGAAACCATTCACCGGGGCTGCCATGGCTAAGGGCCAAGCCTGCTTGTAAAAATGAGGGCATAAGTGCTGGGATGGATCTGAATGTTGGAGAGTTGTGCTTCTCTCAATCTTCTCCACAGCAATCTACCAAAAAAGACGAGATTGGAAATGGTATTGTTACACAGAATTTGAAGTCAGTTTCATCCTCCAACAATGCCGATGCCAGCAGGAGTGAAATAAGTGAATGTCTGCGTGATAAAAAGATTCTAGGGATTTCCATTTTCGAAAATCCTTATGTTTCGAAGAACGAGTCTTCTTTTACCTCCCTGTATGTATCTGCTCCTCGGCCATCTGAAAGTGAAGTGGAACATAAGGGGAAAAATAGGTTACTCGATATTAATTTGCCTTGTAATGTGACTGTTGATGCAAGCGAAGACATTGTTGCAGAGAATTCGGCCATAGAGAAGGGAGCAGATAAAAAATTATATAGTTTCAGACATCAAATTGACTTGAACTTGTGTGCCGATGAGGATGAAGCTTCTTTTATACAGAATGTTCCGGGCACCAGTATGAGGATGACTGGAGGAATAATAGATTTGGAAGCTCCACTCGTTCCCGAACCTGAGGATGCTATTCATGGAGAAGAATTATCAGCAAAGGTAGATGTAACTTTGGAATCAGCAGCACAAAGCCAAGATGAGTGCCTGCAGCATGAACTTATGAAGAGTGCAGCTGAGGCAATAGTTGCCATCTCATCAACCATTCAGCACATTCATTTGGATGATGTCAGTTGCAGTTCATCCGAAACTTCTACGACAGACCCCCTGAATTGGTTTGTCGAGACAGTTTCCTCTTTTTGTGAGGATCTTGAGAGCAAGCTCAAGTCTCTTTCGAGAGATAAACATAAGGGCCGAGAGGAATCTTCCTTGGAAGAGATCGATTTCTTTGAGTCAATGATTTTGAGCCTAGCAGAAACCAAGGAAGAGGATTATATGCCCAAACCTCTGGTTCCTGAAAACTTTAAAGTGGAAGAAACAGGAACTACCTCATTGTTAACAACACGAACACGAAAGGGTCAAGGAAGACGAGGAAGGCAACGGAGGGACTTCCAAAGGGACATCCTTCCAGGCCTTGTTTCCCTGTCGAGGCACGAGGTGACACAAGATATTCAGACTTTTGGAGGGCTCATGAGAGCAACAGGTCATTCGTGGCAGTCGGGATTGACAAGAAGAAATTCTAACCGAGGCGGTTGTGGCAGGGGCAGACGACTTTCAGTAACTAGCTCTCCTTCTGCTGTGGCGGCTGCCGCTTCTTGCGCACCATTGGTGCAGCAACTTAATAATATCAAACTGGGGCTGGAGGATCGAAGCCTAACCGGATGGGGAAAGACAACTAGACGGCCTCGCAGACAAAGATGTCCCCAGTACCACCTCTTGCGTTAACCTTATCGAGCATACAACAGAGGGAACTAGGTCATTGTTTCAAATCACATTCGGGAAGAGCTTATTACGTCCCGGGATCGCGTTTTGTACACACGGTAGCCTGAAATCCGGCTATACTTGATTGTATGTCTTCGAGTTCAGTTCGTGAATAACCAACCATAATAGCTATTTTTATTGTTTTCGAGCTGATTCTGACAATGCATGTATACGTAGTAGTACGGTGTTTTTGTTCGATTAATATTTTAGTATTAAAATTTTCCGAAACACAATACATTTAATAACATAACGGATAGGGAAACAAAAGCATATCCTATATATATATATTCGAAATCCATTTCTCCAATCTTGTATCAATTATTATTTTCTGAATTTAAAAATATTTATTATTTTCATACACTAATTAAAAAAGGGGGAAAGAGAGTGGGGAACACGAGAAGAGAGAGCGCGTGGAAAGGAAATGAGGAAGGTCTAAGTTTTGTAAGCTATCGTTGTCTGCGTCGGGAGTGTCAGAGATTGGTCGGTTGTGTGTACGATGTGCGTGGTCTGTCATAGTCTTATATGCCCTTCTAGATTCTCTCTTACCCAATCACCTTTCATTCCCCTTTTATTATTAGGGTAAAGTATATTAATGGTCACTGAATTTTTCTAAAGTTTTCATTTATGTCATCTAACTTTTAAAACATGCAATACAATCACTTAACATTTAGTCCGTTTGTAATATGGTCCCGACGTAACCAACCGTTTGACGCCGTTACACTACCGTTAGTACGTTTGTAATATGGTCACTGAACTTTTCATACGCTTGCATTTAGGTCCCCCAACTTTTAAAACTTGCAACACAGTCATCAATTTCCAAAACATGTAAAAAATTTAATTCGGTCACGATATATCAGTCCCATAATCAACATGAACTTATTAAAAAGAATACGAGCTCACAGGATGCCGAAAACCATAGGTCAGATCAATACAATTCCCAGTAAACTAGTACCAGCAGTCTCCCGGATTGAGTCTGGCGATTTCAATATGTCGATTCCCTGATTTAAAGAAAAACCAAACAAGAAGATAAAAAAAATTTAGCCTAGGACCCTCTTTCACTTCTATTCTGATGGATTGAATATCTTTCATAAGGAGTACTAAAAGTTTTTATTAAGAAGAAAAAAAAAATTAGATTGGTTTTGGTTCAAAACTAACACTGAATATCCAGATAATTGACATGCAGTTCCAGAAAAATAAAAATTTCAACAAAAACACACAATGCGAGCTAAAAATGGGAAAGAGCGAAAGAGGAAAAGTTTACTTCCGGATAGCCCAAAAGAAAATAAATACCTTCTTGTAAGTGAGGGGAGAGACTAAGAAATAAACGCAATCGGTGTTGCGTTCCAGCAATTCTTCCTCCATTTTTTCTTTGTAAATAAAAAGTTGAAAGATAGAGCATTGCTTGGGTTTATAATTTTACATGGCGGAAAATTGAAGAAAAAAAACCAAACGAGAGTGCATGTGAGCGAAAGAGACTGAGAGGTGAATGCGATGTTTGGGATTTCATTATATTTTATCATCTGTTGGAAAATCTTTAACCATAAGAATTAAACGAATAAATTATTATATGCCATTTATACAAAATAATTTCAGCTTTGTTGGTGACTTTCAACAATGATACTTAGTTCATCTTAGTAGTATTAGTCAACTATGCATTTATAACCCCATTTTTTTCTCACAAGCATTTCATCAAACATCTATGCTTCACCTGAGATGACTTGTATCTAACAGTACACCTTGAATCGTTGATGGTCCCGATAGAACTTGGTCAGGTCTTCTCTCAATGGACCCTTATTCAAGTCAACACCTCCACATAATTCAAAGTTAGATTAAAATTTTCCCATGCATCCCCGACTGAAAAGTTACGCTGGAAATGAGAAAAGATAAGCAAAAAAGGAAATTTAAGATCGAAAAGAAATTTGGGGTTTAGAATGAAATTGAGGATTGTGTTGTAAGTTTTAAAAGTTGGGGACCTAAATGCAAGCGCCTGAAAAGTTTAGTGACCATATTGAAAATGTACTAACTGCAGTATAACGACATCAAACGATCGGTTACGTCAGGGACCATATTGCAAACAGACTAAATGTTGGAGGACTGTATTGTAAGTTTTAAAAGTTTGGAGACCTAAATGAAAGCTTCAGAAAAGTTCAATGACCATTACTATACTTTACCCTTATTATTATATTTGGGGTTTTCTTGCTATTTCCAAATTTTAGTTTCTTTTTGTTTATATTTTTAATTTAAGGAATATTAAATAATGAAATATTAACTTTAAAAAAATAAAAGAATAAGATCTGTAAGAATTTATTTAGAAAGACGAAATGTTTCTTATTAATGTTATTTTTAGATGTTAACGATTTTAATAAAAGTGAAATTAGCTTATAATATATTAAATTGAGGTAAAATTAGCAAGTGATAAGAAATTATCAGATTCATCAATAATTGTTGGCAACATTACCAAAGTTGGTGATAACTGCAGACGTATTTGACTTCAATTATATATATATATATATATATATATATATATATATATATATATATATATGTATGTATATTTTATTTTAATCCTTAATAATCAAACACGTATAATTAGACCCAAATATACCAACAGTGGTCATCGACTCTAGGCAATGCTATTAGCAACTTTGACATTCCCCCCACATAATGATTTTGTCCTCAATTTTTTCCATTACAAAATAGTTTTATGAAAAAACAATTTTTGAGATAATAAAAAGTGAAAGCAAATGATTTATTTTGAAATGGAAAAACTGCTTAAAGACCAATTTTAATATTTTATTCATAGTTTGGGACCTATAGTGCAATTAACCCAATAAAATTCTTAAACTTTTAGTACAAAAAGATTTTATAGTTTTCAGTGGGGATCGAGTAAAAAGACTCTTTAAGAGATATTTACATACTGATCAGAAAGAACCTCCACCTTCATCGTCTTCGGGATCAAGCGGAATTTCATGGCGGGGTTTGTTGTATTTCTCGCGAAGCTGCTTGATAGGGATGAAATCTCCGGCAGCATCCATACCGTAAAATAGAAAAGAAATGTAGGGATGATCGAACCTTCTCTGCACATGGATATCGACGGTCACCATGAAATAAAGGGAATAAAATTGAGTATCATGTTGTGTAATTACACGATCCTACTCACCAAGTCTGGTTCTTCTGGGGCTAAAAGATTCTCCTCAGGAACTGCAAAGCGGGAAAAACATATATTTAGTGCACCGGTGCTGGTAAGAACTATGAAAAAGACGAAGAGAACTGCAGTTTCGGATCCTAACCCGATGAAAGTAAAACGAAATGACAATGGAGATTCAACCAGTTTCAACAAACAGAGAGAAGGTAATCAATATTTAAAGGAATCGAGTAAACAGCAATACCGAAATGGTTTACCATATGCTACTAGTAGATTAGGGTCTGCATATACATCAACCAAGACCTGGCAAACAACACAGACCTCATTAGAAGCATATGATTAAATCGATCCATGCCGTGCCCTGAATGATCTCATTCCTGCTACAAACCATAATTGTGTATTCGATTAAATTAGTTCCCCTCAACTTCTCTTAATATTTGAACATTATCACTGCATTAAATATCAGTAAATTCTTATAAAATTGTATTTTGAATAAGAACACGGGTCTCCTTTCTGAGAAAGTACCCAACATCACCTCCCTCTCGCTTGCTCTCTCTTTCTGTAGCATAAGATCCTACAAATATTACATGACAAATCAACTTTAAAGTAGGAAAGCAATGAAGATCGTGTGTTTAAGGTTCAACATTTGAATGATCATCGTCTAGGTTATAGGCTAAGAGAAGTTAGCACCCTATGGAGTTTGATCGTATCTGTTCATTGCATGGTATGATCTTAAAGGAAGCATGCCTAAGACCTGCCTGGATTTAGCTGGTCCAAATGAATTCGGTTTCCGTATAGGAATTATGTTTTATTGGTTTCTCTGTCATATTTGCATTAAAAGCAAAATAATAATATCTCGATTATAGGGAAGAGTATACCACCCACTCTAGAGAGTTGCAATTGTAGTACTAATCAAACCTGATAAAATGGCTGATTAAAACCAAGAGACAACTTTTCAATCTGTGCAGCTTCCATCCATGAGCTTGATTCACAGCACACTGGATCCATCCCACAAACTACAGCTCGATAACCTGAAAATGATAAACAAGTAGAGAAAAAGATAGTAAAAAGAGGACAAAAACCTCATATTGATGCTATGTAAAACTTTAAGGTGTTGTCCTCCACTCCCATCTTCTTTACGTCCTATTTCTCTCCATGTTTACAAAGAAAAAGCAGGTGGGGGGAAGATCGAGTGCGAAAGCAGTAATAACATATTTGATAGCAATCGTTATATGCAGAAAGAAACAGGAATTATTGAACCGAACACTGCAATCTGCATATTATGGTGAAACTTCGAAGAAAGGATGGACGGGAACAAAAAAATAAAAAAGGAAAAATGAAAGACCAGTGGAGATCATATTTGGCTATATACCAAAACTTTTATGCTGGACTTTCTGTCCCAAACGAAATGCATATTTCGCTTTTTCATGTGCCAAAGCTTTTGCAGATGCAGCCAAAGATTCTGCCTCCAGTTTGGAAATGTCATCCCGTAATTGAGCAGCCAAAGCATAATTCTCGTTCTCAATCGCATTTTGCAGTTCGCCACTGCGACAAAACAAAGAAAATCAATAGTCTAAAGGACCCCAAATGTATCTCAAAATCCAATAAAAAAAAGAAGTACTACAAAAATTCACAATCTCTTACAAAAATCAATGGCCTGCACTCTATGAAGACTGCATATAACATAAGCGAGGGACTCACCGTAGACGTACCAAACTTAGAGCCTTATCTTGAGCTTCACTCTTCGGGGATAAACCTCTTTTCGCTTCTTGCTGCTTAAGGATTTCTGCTTCGACCTTCAAAGCAGAACACATACTAATAAACACACTACATACACATTCCCAACTCCAATTATCACCAAGAGAGTCGGATTGCAACCGAGCATACATAAGATTCATGACAGTATATATAAAGCAGTAAAGAACTGATGCATAAAGGGTAAAATGAGAAGTAAATGATTCTACCAAAGCTAATCATTTCAGCAACAATTGACAGCCACGGGGCTAAAAAATGTCAGTTCTAACCTCATTAAGCTTGTTTCTAAGCTGCTGTGCAATTTCATATTCCTCCAAGTTCAAAGCACGCTGCAAATCCACAAACACACAAACACCAATGACCAAATCCTATGAACCGAGAGACAAATACAGAAGCTTGTCTTCGTAAGAAAAGATAAAAATTCATATCATAGATGAAAAAAAAAGCTCTCGTCGAACCTGAACTTGAGTGGCCAAGTCTAACTGGAAAAAGAAAATCAGTATATCTTCATTAGCAGCCTCACTTCGCTCGGAGCTTGCACCCAATTCCTGGTCACCTCCTTTAAATGGCCACACAGCTTTAACCCCAGAGTCCCTTTTCTTCAACAAATTGGGGTTGCCTTTGAAGTAAAAATTCGGCACATACCCATGGCAGAGAGATTGTTTACCAATCCCAGATTTCATTTGTGCTTTTCCAGATTTCATTTGTGCTTTTCCAATTATCTCATAATGCCGCCTCCCAACTACTTCTGTTCCATAAACAGCTTTGTTTCTTGAGCTTGTTAAGCTACTGCTTATTGAAAGGGTCTGCACCATTTTTCTCGGAAAAGAAAAGGGGTTTTTTCCTTTTTTTTAATTGAAATCACTGAAAATGAAATTCTGGGGTATTTAATTTCGTCCTCACAAGATTAAGATCATTAGAAACTGCATTAGTGCAAGATTTCAAGTGAGCAGATGGACAGAGATGAAGGGCAGGGAGAAGAAGATGAAAATCTGTAATCTGGATTACGGGGTTGAGTGTGTTATTGAACAGAGTGTTGACACGTGGAGATGGTTTTAGGCCCGATAGACTCGAAGCCAACATGGATCTTTTCTTGCCTCTGTTTCTGGGCTTGTTTTGAGACATGTTCTTGCTATTTGATTTGTTTTGTCGGGGCTTTCCTTCTCGGCGGGATTATTGTGACAAATACAATCAATATAAATTATATGTTTAAAATATTTAAATTTGATAAATTTTAGTTAATTTAATTTATAAGATTGATTTTAATAAATTTTGTGAAAGAAAAAGTCAAAATTAGGACGAAGTCAAATTTAAAGTAAAAATTCATGACCTGATATGATTAATTATTAGGACGAAGTGAGCTTTTAATTTTCAGGTCAAGATCAAGACAACCAAAAAACTACGTGTATTTGAACTGTCATAAACTGTTGAAACTGTGTATTTGAACGTCTAAGGTCGATGATATACGTATTTTGTTGGGGGTCTACGATAAGACACTTTCCACCGTTCACTTCTAAATCGTGCCTGCAACATTCATGTCCATAAAGAATTAGAATCATTTCTATTGTTATAAACGCTTGAATAACTCGATTCGATTATAAATGATGGCGTGTTTTGATTTAAAGAATAAAAGGATAAAACTAGAGCATTCAACTGAAACACGAAATAAGGGATGGTCAATTGCTCTCGAGGAACATATCTGAATAGCTGCAGAAGCCTATCAACATATACCACCGTCTTCCACACCTGTAGATCAATTCTGGAAACATCAAGTTACGGAAAGATTCCTCAAACAGCTTAATCGGTCTTCGATCAGGAATAACTAAAGACATACCACTTTGTCCACGAACATTTGCAGAGCGAAAATTGTAGTCTTCAAGCGTAAGGTAGGATGGAGAACATATATTGCCTATACAAAACATGTAAGAGGATAAAAAACCCATGGCGCAGTACGAATATTGAAAAATAGATGGATAGCAATTAGCAAGTGATACAACATACATGCAGGTTACGTTGGTGCTTCCGACCAAGTATTTGCTGTAATCTTCTCATCCATCCTAAATCTGGTTGGCTGTTTAGTCCAGAGAGAGAGGAAAGAAAACACACAATTCTAAATATTGTTATCAGGAAAGGGTAAAAAATTCTTTCACTCAAAGAACTCGAACATTTAACGGAACACGTCGAATCTTACACTTGTAAGGATGCAGCAGAGTGGAAGTATACAATAGTATAAGGCTTCTGTATCAAGAGTTCAAATTCCTGAAATCAATAATAAAAAATAATCTTTGCTTGAAAACGAATTATCAATAATAGTAAGCTGTTGAGTGGACATGCTAAAAATCCATTTCCCAAAATGAAGCTGTTTAAATTGTGTCTTCAATGCAACTAGGTCTCGGAATTTAAAATATCCAACAAAAAGTTCTCGGAAGTTAATACCTTTACAACATAGTGAATGAAACGTTCAAGCTCAAGACACCGCAGCAGAAAATGAGCTCCAACAACCATAACAGGATGACCTTCAATGTCCACTCCCCCACAATAACTGAGATAAAACAAATAAACTAAACATTATATTCAGACCAGGAGCAATCTAAACATGTGCAAAATTCATGTGGTTCTGTCACGAAGGAAGGTGGGTTAGGGTTTGGAGGTATTGATTTGTGGAAATCTCAAAGAGAGGAATTAGGGAAGCATCAGTCGAATTTGGGAGAGGATCGAGTGAATTTAGGGATTGAAAGGGGGTTAGGGATTGATTTGTTATTTGAGGAATTGGGGAATTGAAGTGAAGTCAGGCGATGGATAAAGGGTAATGAGATACGGGCTGGCATAGGTGGGTGGATTGCATCGTTGGGCCTATCTAGACTTAATCCAATTTAAGTTATGTATGTGGGCTTTTACGTTTGGGCTTGAGTCTGTTAGATAATATCAGGAAAGAGGTGGGAAATGATGAGTCAGCATCTAAGTAGTTATTTTGTTAGACAGCTGGTACTTGTTAATATATAAATTGTACCAAACCCTTTTGGGGTACCTTATGAATGAAATTGCAAGTTTTCTATATCTATTTCTCTCTAAATTTCTTAAATCCCTAAAAAATTATCTGCTATTCTATCCTAAAACATAACAAATTGGTAATCAGAGCCGAGTTTTGGGATCCAAAATTATTTTTTTCACGCTGGGAAAGACAAGAAAAATACAGAAGACTGGAACCATTGAGGTACTAGAACAAGCAGTAGAAGTGAAGGAAGAGACCTTACCATCTTGGTGGGTTGAGTAGAAGGCAGAGCTGGAAGGAAATATACAAACCTTGGAAGAATGAATGACTGAAAACAGGGGTTATTTGCAGAGAATCCTATATATGATCAATCAGACAGCTGAGGAAAAAGACTCACCTCAGTCAGTCAGGAGTCAACCACCAGCAGCTACACAGCAAAACAAAGGTGAAGGTAAGCAGCCATGCTTAGTTACGGTTCTTAGTGAGCATGAGAAGTATACTTTTCAACCTAATGAACCGGGGATATTAGCTTCTAAACCTGTGGGGTTTACTGGTCCTCTACCTTTTAATCAGAAATTGCAAGAAGAAAATATTATGGGCAGTTCGAGTGAGATTAAAGTGGACAGTAAGGGTTTATTTGGGAGTTCAGGACCTATTCTACCTCGACCTAAATTAGAGCTACAGATGTTTGATGGCAATAATCCCAGAGGATGGGTTAGAAAAGTCCAAAAATATTTTAATCTTTTGGGAGTTCTTGAAGAACAAAAAGTGGATGTGGCTGCAATGTATTTAATGGGAAAAGCTGAGACATGGTTTGATGGCTATATTATGCAGAAGCATAGAGTAACTTGACATGAATTTGAGGCTGATTTGTGTCATAGGTTTTGTGATAGAAACTATTCAGATATTATTGAAGAATTTTATAAGTTGATGCAAAATGGGAGTGTAGAGGAATATCAAGAAAGGTTTGAGGAGCTAAGACCTTACTTACTGCAATAAAATATGCATTTGGGGGAAGATTACTTTGTTTCTAGTTTTATCAATGGTCTCAAGGAAGAATTAAAACATAAAGTGAAGGTGTTAGAGCCCAAGAAATTATCTGAAGCCTACAGACAAGCAAAATTGTATGAGCTAGCTAATGAGATTGAAGGGAAGAAGTATAAATCTTCTAACAAATTTTTTTCTTACACCCCTTAAAATAGTCCACAAGGCAGTGGAAATAAAAGTTTCCTACCCAAGACAGTTCCTCCTAATATCAAAACAAAGCAGAGTTTGGTGGAATATAGGAGGGCACATAATTTGTGTTTCAAATGTGGGGAAAAGTTTCCTCCTGGACACCAGTGCAAGGATAGACAGTTAAACTGCATAAAAGAAGTAGAAGAATCTGCTGAACAGGAGTTAATTAAAGGAGAACCCGAGGAAGTGGAGGAAATAGCAAAGGAAGCCTTGGAAATTTCTATTAATGTTATTACAGGAAATGTGGGGCATACTACTTTGAGAATTCAAGGGCCCATCAGGGGCAAACCTATTAATGTGCTGATTGATAGTGGCAACACTCATAGTTTTGTGACTCCTAAGTGGACTAAAGAAGGAATAGAGGTAGTTAATACTCAGTCACTGGTTATCACAGTAGCTAATGGTGAAAAATTGTTCAGTACTGCCAGAAGCAATAAGGTGAGTTGGAAGATGCAAGGCTATGAATTTCAACATGATTTCATAGTATTGTCCTTGGGAGGCAGTGATATGGTATTGGGGGTGGACTGGATGGAGGAATTTAGCCCTATACTGATGGATTTTAAGGCAAAAACCATTAGTTTTGAGAAGGATGGGGAGACTGTTGTGATTAGAGGTACTAAAAAATTACCACTAATCAGACCCATGACAGGTGAAAAATTTCAGAAATTGGTGGAAAAAGATATTGAATTGACTGGAGAAATGTATTTGCTAAGTGTTGAAGTGCAAGACAGTTTCTTTCCTCTACCTTTACAAGAATTATTGGCAGAGTTTAAGGAAGTATTTAAGGAACCAAAAGGGATGCCTCCTAGGAGAAAACATGATCATGCTATTGTTTTGAAACATGGAACACAACCAGTCAATTTAAGACCCTATAAATTTCCTTATCATCATAAGACTGAAGTGGAAAAGCAGATTGCTGAAATGTTATCCTCTTCTATCATACAAGTAAATAAAAGCTCTTTTGCTTCTCCTTGCTTGCTTATTAAAAAGAAGGATGAAACTTAGAGATTCTGTATAGACTATAGACAACTTAACTCTGCTACAATTAAGAATAAATTTCCTATCCCTATAGTAGAAGACCTATTAGATGAACTACATGGTGCTACTTTCTTTTCAAAGATTGATTTGAGATCTGGTTATTGGCAAATCAAGATTAAAGATGAAGATATTCCTAAAACTGCTTTTAAGACTCACCAAGGACATTATGAATTTAAGGTTATGCCTTTTGGACTTACTAATGTCCCAGCTACTTTTCAAGCTTTTATGAATGATCTGTTTGGAGCTTATTTAAGGAAGTTTGTTCTTGTATTTTTTGATGATATTCTGGTTTACAGTGCTAGTCTGGCAGAACACAAACAATATTTTGAGAATTGTGTTGGAGATTTTGTTGAAGAATAAGTTATATGCAAAGAAGAGTAAATGTTTTTTTTGGGCAGCAGCAAGTATTTGGGGCATCTCATTTCAGCTAAAGGAGTGGCAACTGATCCTACAAAAATTAAAGCTATGTAACAATGGCCTCTACCTAAGAACCTAAAAGCTTTGAGATGGTTCTTGGGTCTCATAGGGTACTATAGAAAATTTATTAAAGGGTATGGAGAATTGAGTACACCCTTAACAAATATGCTGAAAAAAAGATGGATTTCATTGGTCTACAGAAGCCAAAGTAGCTTTTGAAAAATTAAAGGTTGTTATGTGTGAAGCTCCAGTTTTGGCTTTACCCAATTTTGAACAGAATTTTTTTGGAGACTGATGCTAGTTCAAAGGGAATTGGGGCTGT